GTGTATCCGCAATAAGGAGAATGCCTGTCCTGTGCTACCTTGGTAGCACAAACAAAGATCCTGTGTACCAGCGATGTACGAATCATAGTCAATCACTTGACTTACTTTCTTAGTGCCAACCTGTCTCACACGAAAATCTTTTAACCGACGCCTACTTACTGAATAGGCTATGTCTGGTCTGAAAACATAGAATACATCAGGCTGCCTACAGCACCTCGGGAATGTGTGTCATCCTCAACGGATCTTCCCTATTTAGGCGCTGTTAAGCCCTTAGACAATTTCTCATTCTTCAATTCAATAAGTATTCGTTTTTTCTATATAAAGACGGATTTTTTTGTCCAATCGACAAACCTAGTTCTCTGATCTTGCTATGACCATGAGGCTGCTTCATCTTTCCCCTCCTCTTCCGGGAGATCTGGATAAATTGCTTCTGGGATCTCATCTCTGTAGCGTTGTCACCGCGAGACTCCCGCTTCTTCCAAAAACCAACACCACCGGTACGCGCCGAGGAAGAAACGCTTCAACTCATTGAATTCCGACTCTCCCCGTCCCTACAAGCTTTGTTGTTCCTGACGTCAGTTGCTTTTGATTTAGTTGCTCATTCCGTAATGATATTGAGTCGAGGAAAGGTTGTTTGGAAGTCTTCTCTCTGCGGTGCGTAAGGCCAGCCAATAAACGCTTAGTAGAGCCAGATGAAGAAGAGGCTTGCTTCACTGGGGTGGGAATAAGATATAGAGGATAAAGGTTCTGTTCCGGTCGGATCGCATCAAACATCATACAGCTTTAATGCTTGCTTGGCCGGGATGTCTCCTACACCACAAGTTGTAAAGAATATCCCTACTTGTTGCTCAACGAGGGGGTTGCTTCAGGCTATTTCCTTCATGTAGTAAGGCGACTTACTGAATGAGGCTCCCGCTATGATAAAGACTAGGAGAACTATAGGTCACAACCTATTGAAGCATCTAAACGTTCGTTCTAAGCTAACAAATCAGGCTTGTAGAACCTTTGAGAGTGATCGCATGACGAAAAATTCATTTCTCTTTGCCTGATCTAAGCTAGCTTGTTCGTTCCATGTCTCATGTAGTCCGTTTTGCCAGCGCCAGTTTGTTTCTTTAATCACATGAGCAAATGATAGTTAGACATAGGTACACACCATAGCCGTCATACTCGCAGCGTCGTGGTTGCAGAGTGAAATGAGGTGGCATCCGGGGGATGAGGAGCAATGGAGTCATCCCATAAACCAGTCGGACTCTCCCTCTATCTTGATGACTAGCCGGTTGCCTCTAAGTTCGCGGGATACTCGGCGTGCACCTATGACCAGGTAGATTCGCTGGCCAAGCCTTGAGAAAGGATAGTACATCTTCCATACATGAATAGAGACTGATGCTCCATCTTGCTTCTTTCTTGGTTCGCTACTTACTATACTACATAAAGGGGGCTTGCGGACTGTGATGTACGACCATCAGTTCAGTACGACCTGAAAGAAGGTCAGACTTTCACGATTACCACAGAAAGACAGGCACTTTTCATCAAATAGGGGTCTGACTTGCTATTACTTGACCTATGGGGACCGTCGCGTGATGCTTATCAGCCTAAGCGCCGAAAGAGGAGTGACGGCACAGTCAAACTCGGAGTTTCTAAGGTTCTTTGATGGTCAAAAAGCAAAAAAAGAACGTGACGGGATGAGAACGTAGTCTGTAAGGAAGTGGCATATGGCTGGTGGTAAGATCCCCATGCTTAGAGAAAGAGAGCTCGACACTGCCTGCGGATTATAGTACCTCTGTTCCTGAACGAACCTACGAACTACCGAAAGATCTTTCCTGCCTATCAGCTACAACATGGGATGGATGATGATAGAAGACCCTCGTAAGCTTGCCAGGCCAGAAACATTATACTCTTCTCCTTTGGCTTCTGGTCAACCCCTATTCCGCTCGAGCGCATCCGACTGCTATCAACCTACTCTGATTGCTTACTCTGGAAGTCTTGCAGGCAGGCCCTGAACGGGTCTAAAATAGAAGGTAAGTCTTACCCTTTTTGTGATGAGATTCCGTTTTGGAGGTAGAGATTGTTTTCCGCTACGACTTCCCCGTTCTGCTAGCTGGTTTCGGCTTTGACTTGACATACGCCTATGACTTCTTTGAAAAGTTGAGAACTTTGCTATATGCTTATCAGCGCGGGAGAAGATAGTGCTTTCTAATATATTTTTAGAAAAAAAAGATGCGGGAATAGAGCTTGTTGGAAAGCTCGTCGGCTCTCCCCATTACTTATCCTTTTGCTCGTCTTGATCATTGCTGTATGTAAGGGCGTAGCATCACCACGCCATCATTGCTAAGCACGACTAATTCTTACACGAGCTCGCCTCTGCTTAGCCTTTGACTCGCTACCCTTTTGCCGACGAGCTCGAAGCCGGAGTGCTAATCCCGCCTCTAAAGTAGCGCCGGCAAAGCTACTTCTTTTTAACTCCAGGTTACCCTAGGTGTCTGCTTACAAGGCGTTTTGAGCTCGATCGTTTGTCGAGTTTGAGGAGGGACCTAGCTCCTTTTCTATTAGTTCCTACATTACTTGCCTACACCAGTGCATTCAGAAATCTGCTATCACTCCTTGCTCATTTTAAATCACTTGAATCTTCCTTTGTTATTCTTATTCTTCTTAAGCATCAGAATCATAAGACCATTCAGGAAGGAAGGAGGGCGGGGCTTGGTAGGGAGAAAGCTGTCCAAGAAGTTTCACGAGTCTGAGTAGACCACAGAATAAGAAATTTTCATATTAGGGCTCGAAGTGCACTTTTTTCATGAAAAAACAGGGAAAAATGAAAACTTGACTATTTCGCATGCCCGTCTCATAAGCGAAATCCTGTTTTAGCCCAAAAACACGGGTTTTGTAAGAAATGTTCACGCGAGACCCCGCTCATAGGGAAAAGACTCTTTATGCCAAAAAGACGGGCTTTGCTACATTCGATCATTTGAGGCGGTCGGAGGCTCCTACAAAGAACCTAAGCTCCGTGGGCTACATTTTATACAAGACTATGCCCTCTCGGATCCCTACAC